GGGTCCAAAAACACAGGGGATTTGCCACATTTCTGAAATTCGGTGCCACACCTCACGCACATCCATCGCAAGGCTGGTAACAACCCAAACTGCGAGTACTCCCTGCCCTTTAATCGCAAGGTGTGGTAACAAGCCCGTAAACCATACACGACTTACCAATCGCCAGGTGTGGTAACCCCTCTTGTGATCAGTTGGTTTTGCTGATTGCGAATCGGCTTCGCATGAAGTTTCGATACTGCTTCACGACAGCGCCAAGGCCTCATGACTTAGCTCTTCCATGGCCATTCTCCGAGAGAGGGGGCCGGCGGCAGGGGGCGAAGCCCTTCGGATAGTCCTAATTAAGTAGTATTAGTAGTAGTAAGTAGTAGTATAGTAGTAGTAGTAGTAGTAGTAGCAATAGTAGTCGTAGGAGTAGTTAGTAGTAAGAGTAGTAGTAGTCGTATAGTAGTAGTAGTAGTAGTAGTAGATAGGAGTATGAGTAGGAGTAGGAGTGGAGTAGGAGTAGTAGTTAGAAGTAGTAGAGTAGTAGTAGAAATAGTAGTAGTAGTAGTAAAGTTATAAGAGTAGTATTAAGTAGTAGTAGTAAGTAGTGTAGATAATAGTGATCCACCAGCCCTCTGGGCGTAGGTGGTTTAGGGAGTTTCCTCTTCCATCTTCCCTTCTTCCCCTTCGGGGAGGGGTTTACCCCTCCCCCTAACCCCCTCCCCTGGACCTGGACGGGCCCGGTCGCGAGCGGTCAGAGTGTCCAAGATGGCCCAGGATGGCTCCATGAGCGCCTCGGATAGTCCAAGATGACTTCCAGGATGGCTCAAGATAGCCTAAGATGCCGCAAGATGGCTCCGAAGATGCTCCAAGACGCTCTCAGAACGCTCCAAGACAGCTCCAAGAGGCCAATTGTCTCCCCAAGGAGGCCCCCCAAGAAGCCAAAATCCTTCAAAAACCTAGGGAAAACCAATGATTTTCGGCTTCTCGCCTTTTCGCTTCCGATGGCCATCTGAGGCCTCAACATGGCTCCAAGAGGGGCCGAGGAGGCCCCAAGTGGGGCCCAAGAGGGCCCCAAGACGGCCCCAAGAGCGCCCAAGAGCGCTCCAAGAGCGCCCCAAGAGGGGTCCAGGCGGCTATTTTGGGAGCTCCCCAGGGGCAGGGTTAATTAGGGAAACCCCCTTCTTTGATCGATCTCCTCCAAGATGGCCTCAAGAGGCGCCCAGGCCCCGGCCCCCAAGAGCCCCCTAAGAGGAAATCAAGCGGCCTCAAGAGGCCCCCCCGAAGCACCCAAGACGCCCAAGAGCCCCCATTGACCGCCAAGAGACCCCCAAGACGCCCGAAGAGGCTTCCAAAAGGCTTTCAAGAGGCATCCGAGCGGCATGCAACCATCCACCCAGCGTCATCATTCTCCTCATCCCTCCTTCGCTCGGTTCCTCGCCCCCCCCTCATCTATCCATCTGGCCTCCTCTTCCGCCTCATCCTTTGCACAGATCGGCTGCCCCTCTCGTTGCTCCCCCACTTCCCTGATCTCTTCAACTTGCCTGGACATCGTTTCTGGATGGGCTGGTGGGGATACGCGAAGCGTCAATAATAGTAGTAGTAGCAGTAGTAGTAGTAGTAGTAGTAGTAGTAGTAGTAGTAGTAGTAGTAGGAGTAGCAGTAGCAGTAGCAGTAGCAGTAGTAGTAGTCGTAGTCGTAGTCGTAGTCGTGTCGTAGTCGAGTAGTCGTAGTCGTAGTCGTAGTCGTAGTAGTAGTAGTAGTAGTAGTAGTAGTAGTAGTAGTAGTAGTAGTAAGTAGTAGTAGTAGTGGTAGTGGGTAGTGTGGTAGTGGTAGTATTAGTAGTAGTCAGCAGCAGTAGTATAGTAGTGGTGGTAGTAGTGGTAGTAATAGTAGCTGTAGTAGTAGTCGTCAGTAGTAGTAGTAGTAGTGGTAGTGGTAGTGGTAGTGGTAGTGGTAGTAGTAGTAGTAGTAGTAGTAGTAGTAGTAGTAGTAGTAGTAGTAGTAGTAGTAGTAGTAGTAGTAGTAGTAGTAGTAGTAGTAGTAGTAGTAGTAGTAGTAGTAGTAGTAGTAGTAGTAGTAGTAGTAGTAGTAGTAGTAGTATTAGTAGTGGTAGTGGTAGTAGTAGTTGTTGTAGTCGCCGCAATAATGCTGATAAGAAACATCACAGGTACAGTATTAACCATACGAATGCAAACTACCCAGGGATGTACCCAACCCTTGTGTACACATGAAGCGACTCTACATCGGACCGCCCAATGCAAAATCAAGCGCTGAAGAACCCGCCGTGCTCTTGAACACTTCGCCAAACAACGTTGGACCAGAACCATATGTTTCATACTCGCGGCATCACTCGTAATAATCAAATCGTTGACAGGAAGGCGACCACGAAGGGGCGTGGGAACATACCGATGAGGGGGGTACTTGAAACACGTTTCGTGGGAGTAAAAGCGCATCGAGCCAGGTTCTCGTTGCAGAATAGCGCCATGCGCGCTATGACAGAACAGCTCCCTGCGCTAAGCGCTGCAAGTGCAAGGGTGCACTACGGACAGAAGGCCACTGAACAGTCGATGCGGCATGGGCACATGACAGCGCCATGCGCTCCGTGGCGCCCAATCCCGCTGCGATCTGCGATCAAACAGCGCAGCGAAGTCTCATGGTGGTCACCGTGGGGTGTACCTCCGCTGGCCCTCCCAGGAGCATACGAAACCGGCGACAATTTCGCAGATCGCAGCCCCCCAGGGGACGGCGAGGTCCCGTGGTGATCTGCGTAGGTCGTACCTCCGCAGGCCCTCCCAAAAGCCCACCGAACTGGCGATGGTTTCGCAGATCGCTTTCCCAAAAGGGACGGCGAGGTCTCGTGGTGATCTGCGTAGGACGTACCTCCGCTGGCCCTCCCAGGAGCCCACGAAAGCGGCGACGGTTTCGCAGATCGAAGCCCCCCAGGGGGCGACGAGCTCTCGTGGTGATCTGCGTAGGACGTACCTCCGCTGGCCTTCCCAAAGCCCACGGAACTGGCGACAGTTTCGCAGATCGCAGCCTCCCAGGGGGCGACGAGCTCTCGTGGTGACCTGCGTGGGACGTACCTCCGCTGGCCCTCCCAGGAGCCCACGAAAGTGGCGTCAGTTTCGCAAATCACAGCCCCCCAGAGGCGGCGAGGTCACGAGGCAAGGATGAGGAAGAACACGAGGAGGAGGAGGGAGGAGGAGGAGGAGGAGGAGGAGGAGGAGGAGGAGGAAGAGGGAGGTGGCGACCACAGTGCTCTATTCAAAACGAGTACCCAACACAGGAGGGTTGGGAAAAAGATGAACAACACTACTCATACTAACAAAACAGCATAATAGTGATAACCCGAATGCGGCAAGAAAAAGAGACACCGAAGCTGGGAGAGGTGATGTTGCCTCCAAGTTGCTGCGGAGGGCTTCCGCCGCCTGGCCGCGGACGCGGCAGCGGGTCCTCACTGCTCACATATCCTCCACCTCCCCCCTTGCCCCTCCCCACTCCCTCCTCCCTCCCCCCTCCTCCTTCCTCCCTCCTCCCGCCCCATTCCCCCTCCTCTCTCCTCCCTCCCCCCTTCCCCCTCCCCCGTCCTCCCTCCTTCCCCCTCCGGATGCCAGAACAGCCACCCTGGACGCACACAGAGCGACGGGGGCACGCTGGAGCACACCGAGGGCCGAACCGCCACATCGGGCCACACTTGCACTCGTCGGGGCAAACTGGATCGACGGAAATAAAACACGGGCGTTACGTAACATGACATATGTAGCGACCTCACGCCGCAGTTTGCGCGGGCCGCCGGCGCGGCACGCTATATCGAAAACGACGGCGCGCACGCGCGACTTTACGCGGCAGCTCGCGCGCGCATGTCGGCGCAGACGACGCGTTTTTTTCCCGTCGCTCGCTCGTTGGTCGGCAGCGAAGGCGGTCGCCAACGCGTTCGCATAGTCGGCGGCCGCCGCGCTGGGCGATGAGCACACTAGGGCAGCTCAGAAAAGAAATTGGCGGCCGCAGAGGAGGAGAGAGGGGGGGAGAGGCCTCAGACTTAGAGTCTCCGCCTCGACGAGCGCGCCAGCAGCCCCAGGCACCGGGAGCTGGTGCACTCGCAGGTTGCTGGGAGCCGTCAGGACGGGGTCCAGGTACAGACGGGGTCGGAGGATCGCGCCGCATCGCCGACGACGGTGCGCCGTCGGCGTCGGCGATACATCGTCGCAGCCTGCGTGGACCGTCGGGTTCCGCATCGAGCCGCGTCGCCGATGCATCGACGACGCGGCGCGGTCCTGCGGCCCCGACCACTCGGACCCGATCTGGGGGGCGAGAGAGGAACAAAAAGGAGAGGAGGGCGAGGAGACCGAGGGGATGCGATTGACATGAGCGATGGCGTGCGCGTGCATGGCGGCAGCCGATTCGGCCCAGAGAACGTTTTCGGCTGTTGTTTCGGGCGTCTCGCAACCAGTGGGGGGCGATGGGTGGGGGGGATCGGGGGCTGCAGGAGAGGGGCCCTCAAGGGCCCCCCCGCTTGGGGCCCCGAAAGCACCCCCCTCCCCCCACACGACGCGAAGTCCGACTTACGTAGCCTGGCCGTCCCCCTCCCCTGCGTGGCCGTGGGAGCGGGCCGGCCACGCGGTCAAGGGAACGCTTTCTTATGCGGCGTTTCGACATGGGCGGACAGGGAAGGGAAGGGGGGGTCTGGCCTTGGACCTCTGCTTGATGCGACCGCTTGCAACAGTGCGCCCCGTGGGGGAGACCCCCCCGGCTTGAGACAGGCGCCAAGCACAGCCAAGATCTACTCTTAGGTCGGGCGTGCCCCCTACAGGCGGATTTTGGACGAAAAATGAAAAGTACACTCAAAAATGCTCAAACAGACTCAGAACATACTCGAAAAATCGTCCCCGGATGATTTTTTGACTAGTTCTGAATGTTCGTCATGTCGACGGACACGCCCGACCTAAATCTACTCCATGGGGGGTGGAGGGGGGGTGCGAGGGCCCGCGCTGATCGGCAAAACAACGAATACGAAAACGATCACCACCCCCTTGCAACGCTGCTTCTGCCCCCCCCGCGCCGCGTGCTTCTCGCTGCTCTGCCCCTCGATGGGTGGCCAGGGAACGACCGAACCCTCGGGCCCGCGGGCTCCCCTCCGCGAGCGCGCGGCCCGCTGCGTGGGCCGGCGCCCGCGCTGCAGGGACTGGCGGAAACGCGCCGTGGCGGAGCACGAAGGCGCGCGGCTCTGCTGACGCAGAGGGCATCTGCACTCCACCACCCTTCCTGGCCAGGGCCATCCTGGGCCCTGGCAGGGTGCATACGCCTCCTGGCCGAAGCCAGGAGGGTATATATACACCATCATGGAGCCCAGGGTGGCCCCTGGCCAGGCACGGCGGTGGTGCATCGGGGAGACGTAAAACTCGGGTAATTACAAGGAGCTCGGGTTGGCCTGGCGGGTCCATCATAAAAATGACGAGGCCCAATCTGAAATTTCACGCGAGCTCCCGCAGAAAAAACATCCCGCGAGAACTAGACCGTCCAAACCCAGAGCGCGCTCGTCACAAAACGTCGGCAAAACCGAAGTCAGGCCTACTCGGGTCTTACCTTCCTCCGCGTGTCTAGATGGCATCTGCGGACTACTTTTCGTTGCGCTGGAAGCGCTGCCGCCGTCACCAAAGACTTCCCCAAGCGGATCGTGGCCTTCGCCGGGTTGCCGCGGAGGCCGGCGGCCGTGCCCGCGGCCGCAGCGGCGCCCAGGCAACTTCGAGGTCGCCCCCTGGCAGCAGCAGCCGCGCGCCGCCGTGCCCGCTGTCGCCGCTGCCTGCTCGGCTGCTTCTGCAGCTCGCTTGTAGCCCAGCGGGAAGAGCAAGTTGGTGAGGGCGTCGCTCTGGTTTGGTCACCCCCGCGCCCCCTGGGAAGCCACGTGCGGGTGCCGTCGCGCGCGACGTGCGCGTGCCGTCGCGGTGTCGAAGCCGACCCGCACCCACGGCAGCAGCTCGGGAACCAGCTCCGGGACCGCCGGTGCGGCTACCGCCCTGTCGCGCTCGTGGTGGGCCAGCCTGCCGTCGAGGTCGAGCAGCACCGCCTTGTGCAGGATCTCCGCGCGTTGCGAGCTGCCCACTGAGTATTCGGTCTCCCGTAAGGCCCCGGCCACCCGACCCCCAAAAAATGCAGGCCGCCGCCTTGGACGCCAGACGGCGGTGGAGGATCCCAAATGCAAAGGGCTGGGCCTTGACGTTTTTCGGGCCAGTCCCCCACCAAAATCTGGGCACACTGCCACACCTCCTCTTCCTGGTCCTGCTCCTGCTCCTGTTCCTCCTGTTCATCCTGTTCCTCCTGTTCCTGCTCCTGCTCCTGCTCCTGCTCCTGCTCCTGCTCCGGCTCCTGCTCCTGCTCCTGCTCCTGCTCCTGCTCCTCCTCCTCCTCCTCCTCCTCCTCCTCCTCCTCCTCCTCCTCCTCCTGCTCATCTTCCGCCTCCTCCTCTTCCTCCTCCTCCTCCTCCGCCTCCTCCTGCTCCTCCTGCTCATCCTTCTCCTCCTGCTGCTCCTCCTCCTCCTCCTCCTCCTGCTCCATATCTTGCTCCTCCTCCTCCTCCTCCTGCTGCTCCTCCTCCTGCCTCTCCTGCTCCTGCTCCGAATGTTGCTTCCTGGTCCTCCTCCTCTCCTCCTCCTCCTCCTCCTCCTCCTCCTCCTGCTCCTCCTCCTCCTGCTCCTCCTCCTCCTGCTCCTCCTCCTCCTGCTCCTCCTCCTCCTCCTCCTTCCTCCTCCTCCTGCTCCTCCCCCGTCTGCTCCTCCCCCGCCTGCTCCTCCTCCTCCTCCTCCTCCTCCTCCTCCTCCTCCTCCTCTTCCTTTTTCCGTTCCTCCTCCTCCCTCCTCCCTGTAACACATTGTGGTTACTGGCGAATTTCAATGAATTCCCTCCTCCCTAGTCCCTCCTGCTCCTCGTGGTTACCACTCCCGCCGCTGCTGCGCATGAGTTTGTGCATCCGCCTCACGCACGCGGATTGTTCCCGATGGGAATCACAACCCTCGGCTCCAGCGTTCCGTCTTCCCCCCCCCTCCCATCCCCTCCCTGCCCCCTGGTGGAATAAGCATATGCAGCGCCACCTGGAAGCCCATCTTCTTCTGCAGCTCTCCCGCTGGCCCCGCCTCCCCCCGCCCGCCTCCCATTCAATCGGGCATGTCCCCCTACAGGCGGATTTTGGACGACAACCCAAAAATAGTCAACAAATACTTTCAACATAATAAAAAAAATCAGAATAATCAAAAATCGCCCCCAGACTATGTCTTTACTATCTTTGAGTATTCCTCCCTCAGAGGGGCACGCCCGCCGTACGCCTCCCCCCCCCCACCCCCCCCGCCCGGGCGAGGGGGGCCTCCAAGGAGTCGCAGACGCAAACGTTCGCCGACGGCCCCTTCGGCACTCTGTCGGCCGGCCTCTGCGCGCGCGAGCCGGTGCACGGGCGGAAGTGGAGGAATAGACAGGAGGAAGAGACAGGAGGAGGAGGGGGAGGAGGAGACAGGAGGAGGAGGAGGA